TTTTTTTTTCCACCCCTGGAGTTTCTTTCAAATACGGAGGGGAAAGAAATGCAAGAAGGAGAGTGTCTGTCAGTTGCTACAGATATCACTACTGCCCTGTGGTGGGGGCAGTGGCAGGAGAAAACTCTGCTTGTGAGTTGCTTTTTCAGTGGAAGGGAGGATTCTGCTCACATTGTTTCATTTGCAAATGAAAACAGGGCTATCCTCAGTGCCAAGGCAAATGTCTGGGATCCTCCAGGTCTTACCCACTCACTGTTGTGCTTTGCTAGACTTTATCTTAATGTAATTCCTCTCTGGTTGTGGTCTCTCCCTTGCCCGCTGTTCACTGGCATAAGAAAGACTGTCTGGCTTTCCTTGCCAGACATACAGGAGCAGGGAAAGAGACCTGCTTGTCAATAAATAAATAAGAGAAGGTATTATTTCTTTCATCATTCTGGTAGGTGATAAGCCTGCAGCCATTTGTCAACTGTCCAGTAGAAATAAATGTCTGTTGTCATTTTCTCACATTTAATAAATTCTATTTCTTTGCAATTTTAGCTGTTCATCTCAAGTGCTATCTCTTTTTTTCCTTTTTCAAAGAAGTGAGCATAGAAGAGAAAGGATACTTTAATGAGGCTTCCTCCCGTCTTTGACAAGACAACAAAATTATTTTAAAGAACACAAGATTAATTATTTGGATTCATAAATCCAGAAGACATGCACTTGCTTAAGGCAGAATAAACACCAAGCAGTCTCACTTGGATTTGCAGTGGCTTTGAAGTTGAGTTTGCTTTTGCAAAACTACCAGCATTATTTTCTCAGCTTGCTATCCCAGAGCTGCAACTACATTTTCCTATCACCCTTTTAGAGACATCCCCACCCTGTGTGTAATGCAACGGAGATGATATATTTCCATATTTCCTTTCATTGGTACACCTTTCTCATATGTCTAAACAGTAAGACCTGAAGTTCTTCAATACTCCAGCAAGCAAGGCTAGTAGGCAGCCTACTGGAAGCTTTGCTTAAGTGGAATAATGTTTTTACAAAATTTGACATGTCAGTGAATAATACCATGTCTCCAGTAGTTCTTCTACTCCAATAGCAAAATAACATAATTCTAGACTACACCCCCAGTTCCAGTTTTCAATGTGACCATGCCTAATTATACTGCAGGGGTTATCAGCCACAGAGCTGGAGCTTCTGGTTGCCAAGTGTGGGATAACTGGAGTCTGAGGCTTCTGTGAAGGTGTAGCACAAGGTTTGCAGTAGGAAGACAGCTACCTGCTAAAAGTACACAGACTTATCTGTCTCGAGGTTTATCTAGATGACCAGAAAAGAGATGGTCAGCTGCCACACCAAGGAGCATGGGGTGGCTTTTTCCTGTCAGAACTTGATGTGTAGTAAGGAAAGGAGGCACAAAGTCAAAAAACTTATATTAGAGCTTCTTAAAACACAAACCATATTTGCATGGAAGACAGATGAGGATCATATCATATATGTGATTGATCACAATAGAATATATCTAGATTGGGGTAAATTTATGCTATTCCTAATGTGACAGACTTCTCCTGAGGAGGTAAAATTACTGCAGGTTGCATTGGTTTGGGTTGGACTCCAAGGGAACATATTTGTTATCCTCTTGTGTCTTAAAGCCCTGGCTATAACCATCCTGCCCTTGCACAAGAGACTTTTCTAGATGAGCTATTATTCTCCCTTCTCCCCTGGATACTCTACTCCTGGCCTAGCAGTGACACAGCTCTCTGTCTTGTAGCCTCACAATCCTGTGAGAAAGGACCTACAGACAGGACTCTTCCTCCCAGGCAGGGGCTGGCCTCATGCTGTGCTCTTGCCTGCCTGAATGCTTTCTCTTCTCACCAGCTGGCCTGGGATTGCCATCCCCCTTCCCTGACGTGGTTTCAAAAGAAAAGAGCCTGATGAAGTCATGCTCAGGCATACCTGTGAGATCTGGAGTTTTGGCACCTTGTGGTCTGAATTGCAGGTATCTGACAAGAGGAGCTGCTGGACTCCTGCAGCGTAGGAGCCCCCAGCCCTGTTCCCCTGCTGTGTTTTAGCACCCAGTGAAGGCTGCAATTCACAGGAGAGGTGTTGAATGATTTTTGGACTCCCCTGCCCCCCAGGGGAGAGAACCAAAGCATCTGAATTCTTGTTAACCCTTACAGGCCAAAATTCCTTTGTGATTGCAATTTCAGTGAATTTGGTTACAGTACTCACATTGGGAAGCATCTAGTCAGGATGAATTAATGTGTATCATCATCAGAAAACAGGACAAACCCGATTATCCTGGTGGTTGGGATCATTGCAGAAACAGGGAAGTGCTGAGTTGGGATACATCTAGCCCATCCCAGGGAAAAAAAAAAGTCCAATGCTGTTGTTAGGAGCTTTTCTTTCCATAGTTAGTTTGCATGTTAGAAACATTTTTTTGCATACTTTTGCAAAGTAACACAGGTAAGAATCAAATTTTCTAACAATCCCAAATCTACCTAAACAAATTCGACATTCTCTGGGGATAATCAGCACATGAACAACACCGACCAGATAAGCATTTGAAAAAAGGAGGGCTTTCTGCATCACTTTTTTAAAATGGAACCATCTCCTCCCTCTTGCCTTCTCCAGAACTGGCTTTGAAATTATTTACAGTACATTGTGAACTTGTAACAATCTCAGAGATAATGAAGTATCTCAGCTCTAAAGGGAAGGTGAAATTCCATGACTTTTTATGATGCAAATATTTTGAAATAGGGAATACATTCCTTCTTAGCCTTTCAAAGCAGATCATGACATGTAATTACAGTAATTTTACTGCAGAGCTACAAATAACAAGCATAAGGAAGGCATGTGGGCAGTCCTGCATGGCTAACAAAGGATGAAATATTTGTAGATTCTCAACTTCCAAACCCAGGATCAGCTCCAGCCCTGGATACAGCAGCAACTGTCAGATATGTGACAAAAAAATATTTCAAATTATCATTGTGTTCCTAGTGACAGTAGTTAATAATTTTTTTTTCCTCAGAAGATTATCCATTATATAATTACCTCTCTCCCAGTTAGGAAATTCTGCCCTGTTCTTCATCTGAATCTGCCTGGAACCATCTTTTAGGCACCTTTTGTGAGTAGTCCAAGAGATCCACTCTGGTTTCATATTTCTGTATGCAAGTATCTATACTCAGCTGAGCTACAGCTCAGCTTTTTGTCAGAGAGCTGAATAAGCTGAGCTGCTTAAGTTTCAAATCATGACTTATTTTCCAGTTCCTGGAGGTACTTGTAACCTTTTGAACTCTCTCTGCCTCTCTGTCCTCATTATTTCTATGTATTTTCTGAGGTGTGTATGAAAAGCCCTAAACACTCAGAGCAAAGGTCTCTCTAGGCCTGGTGCCCTGCCTCCCACATACAACTCAGTGCCATTAATAACAGTGCAGAGAAGGTGCTGCTTTCTTCCCTGCTACCTGGTCTGGCATTCAGGTGAAGCTCATTGTGCTACACATGTGCTCTTAGCCTGAACTGAGATCGCTTCCATTTTATACTTGACATTCCTGGTTTTATAGATCCACGGATCACCTTACCACATTTCTTGCCCTTGCAGTGCCTCTGAAGCTCATGTTGACCCACTTCCTATGACCCAATGCCTATGAATTTTTTGTAAGTCCCCCATGGAGCTGCATCTTTCCAAGAAGCTCACTTGCTCTAGCAAACAAAACCCACAGTCTGATGGAGTGAGTACACACCGTTCAACTAGCCTGTTGTTCTTGACTCTCAAGTCTTGATCTGGAAAGCCACCATATACTGTCTCCTGAGGATGTCAGGTTTTTTCCAGAAAGAAAAATTCTGTACTCCCATCTTCCAAGTTAAAAAGCAAAGAGATATTAATATTTGACTTCAGACCACTTCCACACCTACCTGCTTTTCACCTTCCATTTGTAGAGTAAGCCTTGCCTGCTCTCCAGAAATTTTAGTACAATGTATTCCAGCCTAGTGTATGTAACATGCTTAACAGGAATGTGACCTGAAAGCTTTCAATGCTAGGGGAGTTCTAAAAAGTGTGAGAGCTACTTGTATTAAATAAAATATAATTAAATATAGAGTTGTCTCCTGGGGTTTTTGAGACCATCTGCAGAGAAGGTTTAAAATCTAAACCTGGCATTGACTGTCTGTAAAAGAAAACTGAGATTCCCTTATAATACTGTGATCACTCTGGGTATTAGAGAATTAAAAATTGCAGCAGCATTATAGAAGAAGGAATGATTTGGCAGTACTGCAACCACATGTAATTCCTAGGACCTCTAAATGAGCATGAGAGAAATCACAAACACATCTGCAGTTGTGCAGGTGTTTTCCCACCACCCATTCTCCTATGCACAAACACTACTCTCTCCTCGCAGCTCCCTGCCCCATTCCTGCTCTCCTTGATGCATTCTCACCCCTGCATCCTGTGTCTGCTTTTCAGCATCACAGGCACAGGCAGGCACATTCCAGCTTCCTTTATCCACATGTCCTCACCCTCACGTACATATTCCAGTCAGTGCATACACACCAGACCCTGCACTTGCACATGGCATCACTAGAATTCCATCCTGGAGACAGGACAAGACACAGAGACTCCCTGTTGTCCTGGCATTTGAAGTGTCTGAGTCCTTTTGAGGGGGAACTTCAAATACTTGAAAATACCTTTTGCAGCTTGCTGGAGTTTAGGAACCACCAGTGAGGTGAGTATAGGTCTGAGCTGCTCTTTCCCAAATTGAGTGGTTGTGATGGATTATATTTATACTTCCACTGTTCCAGCCTTTCACAAACTATCCCACACATCTCTTATATTAGAAGGCTTCAACCTAATGTTTTTTGAGCTGGGCATATGGGACCATGATTATATCATCTTTTTTTGTTTTTCTCCATTCACTCTCACTCCTCCATTCTTCTTTCTCCCTGTCATTATCAGTTAAGGATCCACTAAAATATTACACAGTGGTTTTTACTCCTTACTGTTTTTTTTTCTCCCTTGTTGGCAGATGCTTATCCCAATTCTGAAGTCATCTATGTGTGGACTAACAGCACCACAACGTCTGTGGTGGTGGCTGAAGATGGCTCACGACTTAACCAGTACCACCTGATGGGACAAACCGTGGGCACAGAAAACATCAGTACCAGTACAGGTAGGGGGAATATTCCCATCCCACGGTTTGCTGATGGCTGGAGCAGGAGAGGAGATTCACAGGCTCTGGTTATTTTGCAGTAAGATGAGGGAAGCAGCTGTGGGATGTGGAGTGCTAGGGAGATCTTGTGCGGGTTCATGGCCACTTAGCAGAGGTATTTAAACATTGAGAGGGTTAAATTCTGGCTCTTAGGTATATCGCAGGGCTCTGACTGAATACACGTCCAAGCTCCTGGTCTTTACAGGAGTTCCAGAGAAGCTCACGCAGTTTCCTGGCGATAGCCCTCGCTGAGGCTGCCAGCGTTGTTGCTTTCTTATTTCCCCTGGGAGGAACCACCCTGGGAGGCAAACACAGCCCAGCCCACGCATTTGATCCGTGTCAATCATCGCTTTAAAATGATTGCTTGATGGAACTGCGTGGGAGGAGGGGAATGGGGGGCCGGGTGGGGGGACCACTGTGGCACGGCTGGGCTGGGCTGGTTTAGGCTGGGCTGGGCTGGGCTCGGCTCGGCTCGGTTCGATTCTGCAGCGTGTCCGGGGCACCACGTGGCCGCGGAGGAGGTGCAAACCCCGAGGATTCCCGTTCCCTCCCGGGTGGAAGCGGAGGCGCCAGATGTGGCAGCATTAGGGAGGCAAAGCAGCTTTAATCCCCGGGCGGGCATCCGCGTGAGCCGGGCCCCCCCGGCTCGCTGGGCTCCCACGCAAGGGCAGCCCTGGGTGCCGCTGGGGGGGCGGTCCCGGGGGGTCGGGGCCGGGACAAGGGACCACGTGCACTCGCCAGGACCGGGCTTAACCAGGTTACGCAATGCACTCGGCTGGAGAGCATTAGTGGCATCCAGCGAAGGGAGGGGGAAGAGGTGGAGATGAAATAGGCTGCCATGGAGAAAAGGGGGATTTCCACTGCTGGTGGCTGCAAGGGGCTTGGGTCGCGGAAAGGGGCAGCAACATTCCTGGGAGCAATGCCTGCAGGCAAAGCCCAGCAGAGTCTGCTGGTGATACACTGTGTCCCCGGTGAAAAATGATGGGCAGAGTTGTAGGGAACAAAGTACAAAGTATAGCTTAAATTAGGAAGCTTTTACGGTCTGTAGGAAATTTAGGAGACATGAAAACAGGTACATGTACACTTGCACACAAAGTTAGTTGGACTGAAACATAAAGTAGCATAAAACTTTGTGCTCCAACTGGCAAATAAAGAGGGGACATCTGAGCTTGCCCCTTGTGCTCCAGAAAGGACACAAAGTGAGGGAAGGCTTGCGTTGGGCAGCCACTCCACTCTATATTTCACTGCCATCTCCATCCTGTAGACATTCAGCCCCTCCCTTGCCCATTTCACAAGACACAAAACTGATGCTAAAGCCAAGATTCATAAATTCAAAAGAAACAAATAAACAGTGGTCACTAGCTCCCATTAAAGAGTAAAGACACTTTTTTCCTTACCAGTTCACCATCATAGCTGCGTTGTTTTCTGCAATGAATGGCAGCTCCCCTCTCGCCTTCATTGTTGCCAAGAAAAAGATCCAAAGGATGTACTGGAGCATCTCCTACAACCTCGTCCTGCTCCTCAGAGCAAGAAAACCATCCAGCTCAGGCAGTGAGTGCTCCAGCGTGTCAGCTCCAGGCCACTTCCAGTTTGCTGCTTTGCCTGTGAAAGCTTCTTGTACTCCTCAGCCCAAGGAAACACTCCAGACAAATCCCAAAGTTTCCACACAGTAAACACCTCCCTCACGTATTTAAGATTTATGCTAATAAATGCTGTGTTTCCAACGTCAAGATTTTATATTAATGTCCTGGGTTACATCTGGGCTGGCTGGATTCTGATTGCAGGGTGGATCACCAAGAGCGGGATACAGATTGTAACCGGGGATTAGCAAAATACAAAAATCCGATTTTGCACAGAGAAAGCATCAGTCAACGATGGATTTTCTGGACTTCATCAAGCTCGTAGGAGGCCAGTAATCAGCATTACTTACGAATGGCCATCGAAGGCATTTCTTCTTCTATTGAGTTGTTGAGTTTGAAAAAGGAAAACCAAATAGCTATTGCATAATCCAAGTGCTTGGATTTTTTGTGGCTTTTATGACACACACAGCCCTTGCAGTTGTATAAACAAAATGTTTGTGTATGTCATAGGTCATTTATGCCCTTATTTCTAGCAGACTTTTTTAAAATGGAAGTGCCAGACCTGTACCGGTTCCTTGGGATTCTGCTGATTTGTAGGCAAGCTGCTGTTTGGCTAGCTTCTCAGAAAAAAAACACCCTGGCACTCCTAATTCTCCAACAAATCTTGAAATTTGGAACATTTTAGCCATGGCACAGAAACAGCTCTGTCATGTGCCACCTGTTTGTTTTTTTGGCTGTTTGATTTTTTTATTTTTTGAGGGTTTTTTTGTGCTAACATCCCCAAATGTTATTCACCTGAGAGAAAGACATTTGACTACTCACAGGGCTTCCAACAGAACCAACATCTGTTATGCCCTGGTGGTAAAAGTGCTGAAAACAATCAGTTGTGAGATTTGAGTCCAAGTGGATCTTGCTGCTTTCCACAAATGGTTGCCCAGTTATGTTCCTCATACCCAGAATTTCTCATAGTTAACTTAGGATCTGCAGTGGCACAAAACAAAACATAAACCCACTCTTTTGTATACTGCCAGCTGGCGCCTGAGCTCTGTAATATCCAAAGCCTAAATAATAAAAGAATAATTCAGCTCTTCATTTTGAACTAAATAATTCTGATTTTTTTTCTTGAGATGAATATTTCCCTAGCATCACTATAAAAGGGAACATGCATTTTTTTAATGGGCCAGAATATTCTGGATGTCAGCATAGTCAGGGAGGTGTCTAATGTACCTAATGTCAAGATCTTGCCAGAACAGCCACTGATAGAACTGAGTCCAGGTATATCCAGTAAACAGCAAGCCTAGGGGCTGGTCTAGCCTCCTTAAAGTACTCAATTGAATCTCAGCATAATGGCACTGGAATAATGTGTGTGAGAACGTGGAAAATCTGTAAGCGTGAGCTCCAGAACTCCATCAACTAGATACCAAAAATAATACTGTAGCAGCTTTTAAAGCATACAAAAACCGTTCAGAGCAGCAGCAGAGTAGCACAGCTCCATGAAACAGTGCAGCCATTTCTGCTCTAGGGCTTTTCATTAGTACTAGATTTGTTTTTTGTTTACTAACAATAATTTGTTTTCTGCAGTGATGAGTGGACCCCATCAGGAACCGGATTCTCTTTTAAGTGCTATGTAAACCTATAACAAAAATTAGCTCTTGCTCAAGAAAGCTTATGGTCTCAGGATAAACAGTGGCCTTGCAGAAGTAAAAGGGAGCTTTGCTGCTCCAACAGAGCCAGTGTCTTGTTCTATAAACAAAAGGCCAACTCAGGCAGCTTTTAGCTTTACTTTAAGCAGCAGTCCCAGGGCATTAGAAACCAGGCTGTGTGGTTTTCTTAAGCCCTAAATCTACTGGAAGAAGTATTCCTAGTATAGACATCTTTGAAAGGGACAGCATGGGAAATAAAAGAATATGTCAGCTGGGAGGAGAGCAAGTACAAAATCAAGGTGTGGTGATTATTATTTTTTATTGCGATTTTAGATCTTGATAGGTTAAAGAAAATGGTAAGGTAAAAATCAGCTGTGGAGGGCCATCAGAATGTAGGCATTCATTTTCTGTGGTTTAAAAATGAAAAAAAAAAGAGGGTCCTGTTGCTCTTCTGAAGCTGTGTAGATTCTTTTTTTTATTCCAGCTCTGAGAGCATACTGTCAAAATCGATAATGCACATTGTTACTCTGTGGCAAGCAGGGAAACTGTGACTCAAACACATCCCAGTGCAGCAGCAACTGAGAAACAGTCTCTCTGTAATCCTGAGATTACAGGCAGGCAGTCCCTGCTGCAAATACCCCTTAATAAAGAGCAAGTGGGGTTCCTCCTGAGACCACTGCATGTTCAGCCTCCTTGGTTCAAAATTGCACTAAATGGAAGGGAATTAGGCTTTTCTTCACAGGGGTTTTCTCCCTAGTTTCACAGCATTCGGTGTCCATTTCCACATCACTCTTCAGGGAACCGTTTCACCAGAAAATCGGACTCCAGAGAAACACATAAAGATTGAGGCAGGATGTCAGTTAAAGTATTTCTGTGTTATTTCATTTTCTGTCTAAAATCCTCAGCATGAACAAGGTCTGTAAACTTGATGCAGAATAGCAGAGTTCCTGTAGCGTAGTTTGTGAGTGCAGCTATACCTGCAAAAACCCTTTCACTGTAAACCTGTTTTCTGCTAATTAGCCATATTGTCAGTTAGAAGTAATCTGCCAAATCTAATAGCTTAGCAATGCTGGCCACAGCTCAGCTAAGGCTATCCACTCAAGGCAGAATCAGTCTGTTGGATATTTTCCTTTTGTGGATGTTCTTACAGTCAAATCTTGTAACACAGATTATAGCTATAGTTGTTCTTGAAGGACAATACATATTTCAAATCAGGCCTTACTCCCTTACTCTGATTGATCAGTACCCAACTGAATGATGCTTGCTTTTAAACTACTTTGATATCAGTGAAGAACTGTTAAGGTTGGAAGGGATGGATTGCTTTTTATTCTTCCTTTTTTTTTTTTTTTACTCTTATTATTCCTAGGCAAATAGCAGCATGCTTTTAGCTAGTAAGATTTTGGATTTGGGGAGCAGTTACTGTCATGAATAGTCTTCAGTAACAACCACATGGTTTTCCAGAAATACTCTGAAAGAACCAAGGGAGCAGTTACCACCAGGAATAGCCCTCAGTAACAACTATGTGGCTTTCCACGAACAATCTGAAAGAACTGATTAAGGTTTGATTTTTTTCTGAAACATTAGGGAAGGTGACAGCTGGTCTGGCGATTTTTGAGTGCATTTATTTAGGCTTTTATTGAAATTCAAAGGAGCGGATAAATGGCATATTAAGGCAATGCTGTGAATTTGGCATATGAAAAAGAAATGGAATTTAGCACTGCTGTGGCAGCTTTTAGGGAACTCTGCATGCAGGCAGTACAATATTCATTTCACAGGTGAACAAGACAGGACACAATATCTATCCAGAAACAGATAATCCTCTGAAGGGCTAAAGTGTACCAAATTCTAGGAACACTGCATACGTTGGAAGGATTTTTTTTTTTTCCTGGGCCAGCAATCTGAAGGATTTGGGTATTCAGATTAATAAGACATCCCAGGATCCATATGCAAAGTGTTAGTTCTCACAGAAGATTCTGAGACTAGCAATCCTTAAAATGTGGTGCAGAAGGAGTGTCTGGACCCATTTTCATTCCTGAAAACTGATGGCTTGGCTGTAATAGTTTCCCTAATGAGGTTAAATCCTGCTGCCAAATCAGGTTTCTAAGAGTCGAGGGCCTTAATTGTTACTATGCTACAAAAGTTTGTAGGACTGAGTCAAAACCAGACAGTGTTGAGGCAGTGCCAGCAAACCAGATTTTCAAGCCTGTGAACATCACAACGTTCTAGCTGCATAGGAGGACTCCAGCTTTTCAGTGTAGTAGGAGTAGCAGTCATTGTCTTCTGCTTTGGAGACTGAATGTGAGGATCTAGCAGCACCTCTTTCTCAAGTCTTGTTTTTCTACAGCGCAGAAATCCGGACATTTTTCATTAAATTACGAATGGCTGAGTGGTATCCTCAAATGGGGGGTTGGAGCTGGCCTCATTCAGTCCCTAAATCAGTAAGCCTTCCTTATTTTACTCAAATGCACATTTTTTGTCTTCTAGGTGAATATACTATTATGACAGCCCATTTTCATCTGAAAAGAAAAATCGGTTATTTTGTCATCCAAACGTACCTTCCTTGCATTATGACTGTGATCTTATCACAAGTGTCGTTTTGGCTAAACAGAGAATCTGTCCCTGCTAGAACTGTCTTTGGTGAGTATCCCACTTTCTCCTAGAACACAGATAGGATCTCTGTGGCTTGTGGAAGTGATTTGTTGTAACAAAACCACAGTTCACTACTGTTTATTTCTGCATGAGATGTTGTGAATGTTTTTTCATTCTCCTCCAGTTTTAACTCAAAATCAATTTGAAAGCCCTGTCTGAGGTGTTTTTGTAAAGTTATGACAGAAATTGGTCAATCAGTTATGTGAAAATTAAGGACAGAAGACAGAAGAATCAGAGTAGTGTGATTTGTGTTGGGTTTTCTCCACTTGGGTGGATATTGGATGGTTTAGAAAAAAAGACATATGGATTATCATATTTAATGTATACCCTAGCTAAGCACTTGAAGCAGATATTGCTGCAAGACATTTTGTTTATCTTTGTTACAGGATGTTTATCTGGGAAAACCATGTAGAGGTTAATTAGTGACATCTCTGTTACCATCAAACAAATTAATATGACTTTGCATTTAGAAATTGTATATTTACTGAAGAAATTGTTATGGAAAAAACCTTTGGGGTGTCATTAAATTACTTGGTTTATCCCTAGAAGATTGCAGAAAATAAGCACTTTCTCAAGTGAAGGTTGATGAAACGTAAGATTTTTACTAGATGAAAAACAAGGGGAGTGGGAACAGTTTATTAAGTAAAACTGTTCAGCTATTTTAAAGGAGTCACTCTTCTGTACCGGCCTTCTGAAGTCAGCTGGCAGCTTTGTTCCAAAGTCAGCTCAGCAAGTTGTATGGAGAGAATACCAGGAGTAGCATGACTGTGCTGACTGATTCTAGGTTTGCAAAGCTGTAACTGAGAGTTGAGTTTTTTGCTCTTGGGGAGATCTTCCCACACATGAAAGCAGTGGCTGTTTTGCCATTTACTGTCATATGGGAAAGGAGGAGCTACAGTCAAGGAAGCCCCTAACAGTCAACAATTTTAAACATGAAATCTCTGTATAAGAAAATGAAATAAGTAATCCCACTTCATTCTGACAGTTATAAACCCTGAGCTTGTGCTACCCTGAAAATCCTTATTTAAGTACATTACTGCTAGAACTAATCAGAGCTCCATAGAATAAAACATCTGAGGGTGAAGGTTTTCATTTTTTCTTACTCTTTCAAACCATGATATGCAAACACTGACTGACTTTATGTGGCCTTCTAAGGTATCCTGCCAAATTGGGACCTGCTCATAACTCACTCGGGATCCCACAAGGGTTAACAAACTGATCTCTGACTCTTTTCTTTTTTTCTTTGCAGGAGTAACAACAGTCCTCACCATGACCACCTTAAGTATCAGTGCCCGTAACTCTTTGCCAAAAGTGGCCTACGCTACTGCAATGGACTGGTTTATAGCTGTTTGCTATGCCTTTGTATTTTCGGCATTGATTGAATTTGCAACAGTAAACTATTTCACCAAGAGGAGTTGGGCATGGGATGGCAAAAAAGCGCAGGAAGCTGCAAAAATCAAGGTGCTCAACTTATATTTTTTAAATACCTGAAATAAAAAGCAGTTAACCAGTTTAAACAACTGAATGGTCAATTTTTAGCTTCTTTGTGGAAAAGGTATTCCATTACCTCATGACGTACTTTTACCTTCCTGTAGAGGAAAATTTGCAAGGAAATGTGGTGCCTTCCCTTCAACAGAAATAGACTACCAGTCTCTATGATCTGTATAAAGAGGACTGCTTACAGAAGCACATTGGGCATTGGCTACATGGGGCATGGGATTTCAATGATCAGAGTTCAGATAAGAGCAGACATACACCATGAAATGTATCTCGGCAGAGCACTCCCTGTATGCTCTCCTAAATAAATAACAAAGCTCACGTTGAGCTCCATGAATCAGGGTCCCACCACAGTAAAAAAAAAAGGAAACAAAGACTGGTTCTGTCTTTGGACAGAAAACACAAACTTTTGAGTTTATGCTGAAATGAAACTTTTGGGATAGGACTCTTAGTAAATCATCTCCTAAAGACCATGGGATATCCACAGGCATCCCAAAAGAGCCCACAAAGAGGCCAAGCTGGCAGGGGCAATGAGCCCTTCCCCACACTCTTTTTTAGCAGGTGGGGAAATGAGGCTCACATCTATGGGGCAGCACCCTCTTCAGATGCAAGACCCCATCTCACTGATAAAAGAAGCTGCTAATGCACATGCCGGGTGGGATGTGGGTCCACCAAGTGAGTCTCAGCTTTCTCCCATCAAGGAAAATTGTGCTTGAATAAGGGCTACAAAAGCAAGGCAGAAACATCTGTTTGATAGTCAAAATAGCCAACAGGCATTAATGAGCATGCTTGATTATGGTGCTCAGCTTTTTGGATCAGTATCTTGAGAACGTTTCCACTTTCTGTTCTTGTGGTATAACATTTTGTTCTTTATGCTGCAGAAAAAAGAGCGCAACTTGCTGGGAAATAAACCAACTAATACCTACAGCACCGGGAAGATGACTCCTGCACCAAACATGCCAAAGGACTCAGCCCCATCTGTCATCTCAAACACTACATCTGCTCCAGTGAAGCCTGCAGAAGAAAAGCCTGCAGAAAGCAAAAAGACTTACAACAGCATCAGTAAGATTGACAAAATGTCCAGGATAATTTTTCCAGTGCTGTTTGGAACTTTTAACTTAGTTTACTGGGCCACATATTTGAATAGGGAGCCTGTTATTAAAGGTGCCAATTCTCCAAAATAAACTGAAGTACTCTGGAGCCACATGTGAGCCATACTTACAAAGCAGATGCTACCAAGGAAAATTTGAAATCCAGATGACTTTCTACGTTTGGGCAATATTCTTCAGGAAGTTTTTTGCATGTTTAATAATATGTACAAATAATATTGCCTTGATTGTTTCTACATGTAACCTCAGATGTTTTGGAGACGATTATATTACTTACAGCAACGGATCTTTATAAAAGATCAGAAGACATTGAACATGGCTTCTTTGCTGCTGAGTATCTTGCATTGATAGTTTACAAATAAAATAAGTTATATTTTTTAACTGTTCAAGTGTACTACATATCGTGGTTTTTATACTTCAGATGTACAGTCATACAAATATGGGCTTAACCTATATTTTACAGAAGAGCTCCACTATTGTCATCGGATAAGTTACTGAGTAACGCCAGTTGTAAATGTGCCAAATTATTAAGTGTAGGGCTATGTTTGAGCACCTTTACTAGTTACAGGTAGTGCATTACTCCACAGTCAAAACCGCTCGGCCCAATTTTCATTGGAAGTTTAATACAATGCAGTAAATCCTAATGGGAACTGTGGTGATTTTCACTGCTTGAGACTGTAGTTTGCAGTGAAATAACATAGGGAGCAGGATGCTACTTATGTAAATAAAGATGACAGAATCTTGCCCTTAAATGAAAATGCGAAGTTTGTTTGGATTTTGCATTCCAAGGAATTCTCTCTAATGATTCTTGGTATTTATTCCAAAAATAAAGAATTATATTGCATGAAATTAACATAGATTAGGAACATACTTGTGCAAATAAAACTTCTGACAACATCAGTAGACATTTTTATCCGGGTAAAGTAAATTATGTTTGGACATTTTTCCAAGAAGAAGATTGTGTTATATTAGCAGAGATTAGCAGAAAATAATTACAGTCATTCTGCAATAATTATTACTTGTTTCCCACTGCAAGAACCAATCAACCAACATTAGGAAGTGTGATCAGAAAAAAAGATGTGTTTCATGACAGCAAGGTGTTTCAGTGACAATATTGATAGAAAGGTCTTTGTACTGTCCATCTGAAACTTTTCTATAAAACGCCTTGCTGCTGACAATGTGTTTTGCTTTCACAATGAATGAGAAAATGCAGTCTGAGTTTTCAGCTCTTTCCTCCTTGGCATCCTTTAATTGTTCCAGAAGCTTTTGTAATTAAATCTTAATGTTTAAATAAAAAATGCATTCAACATTTGATTGCAAAATGTCATTCTTATACTGGTTATCCTTTTAGAAAGACCAAAGAGCACACCACAGAAGATGAAGAATTAACTGGAAAGCACACATGCACATATTCGATCACATGTGCACATGTGACATATCCTCCTTGTTGCCCAGAAAGGGACATGTCTTAAGTGAGCACAGTGAATTGAGTTGTTGCAGAATTAGGTGCTATCTTGCTATGGTGCAACAATCTCATGATCTTTTGGGGACAGAGTGGAGAGTTCATGCTTCACTTTGAGGTGAGGGTCTGGTCTGGGACTGGGGAGTTGACTGGCTTCTTTTGTGTCTTCTCTTCAACCCTTTCATTCCTAAAAATTGCCAAGAAAAAATCTCATACATCTGTTGTTTTTGAAGCTTTTTGTTTGATGCTCTGGAATGAGAAATGCATAAATTCTTGAGGGCAATAGAGAAGCCATGGGACTGAACAAGTGACTGGATGCTGATAAAAAAGAGCAAGGGAGAGAGCACACCCATCTATTCAGTGCTAGCCTGAGCTGAGGTGAGGATGTGGATCACTGTTTTCATGTAGCCTGCCTGTGTGTCTTTGAGCAGCCACACACCTCCTTGTTCATAATCCCCTTGGGGGATCCCTTTGGCCCTTCAGGGATCAAAAATCCCTGAAAAAATGCAGTGCTTATTGAAAGGCAAAACTTTAAGTCCCTTGGCTATTTCTTCAGGTAAGAAACTCGAAGAATTACATGACTGAGCTTTGTGAATGAGAAACTCAGAACCATCTTTGAATAGCATGTTCTCCAGGCCAGCTCTGGAGTCTGCCCCAGAGAGTTTCTGTACTTTGTTTTATCTGCTAACACCCAAGTCTGACTCTTACTTTGTATTACACCATTATTTCCTGGTCTCCATTGCAGGACTCAGTGAAAGGATCTCTAAATCTGATCTATTTTGCTTATGTGGAAAGTCATCTTCAACAAATATGGGTCTGCCTGCAGCACGTGCTTGTGCATGAGCATAGTTCCATAGTTCCATAGTTCCATAGTTCCATAGTTCCATAGTTCCATAGTCTGGAAGATGCCTCAATAAGCCGATACATTCCAGGCTGGAATACTTAAATGCTATTGCCTCGCATTATAAACCACCTCACAATTTAAAATCTCTCCACAGTCAATGGAACTCTTTGTGTGGGAGATCACTGCCTACTGAGATGATATCTGAACTGTGGGAGACAGGAGCATTTCCCAGGCTCAACCAAAACACCTTGGCCTTGTCCTGCCCCAGGCTGGGGTGGTATCTGCATGTGCATCACCCTCCTCTGGTATCCCCTGGAAGTAGCTTGGGCTTTCAGGAATGGAGTGAGCTGTGTCACTGTCCCCAGAATGGGTGAACTAGGACCTCACAGGACACAGCTACTTCACAGCTTAGTCATGGCCAAAGGGAGTAAAAAACAGGAATTATTTCTCACTGAGTTTTTCATGTATGCTTTCTTGAAAAAAGAGTTAAGGGAAGTGAATTACAACAATTCAGCACTGTAGGGGAAGTGTGTGCAGGCTGCTGCCAAATTTCCTTCCTTGCACCCGTTAAGAGTGAAGGAACAAGTTAAATGCAATTGAAGAGATTTTTAATTTCTGATATTTGAGCTGTGCCAGCTTATTTCAAGGATGAATTTAAGCAACAATGTATTTTCTAAAGCTGAACCCTGTTCTGTTATCTTGAGTTGTCTTCTGCTTTTTTCTAAATGGAATGTGCCCTCTGTGGGATAGCTGAACATATTTATACAAAACTGAGGAATGAATGATTTTGTGAAATAATCTCCTCTTTCAAAAATTCTTGCTCAACATCTAAGTTAAACTTTGAAGAAAAATGAATTAAATGCTTTGTTCTTCATTTTATGCAGAGAAGATGAATGTAGCACTTGCAGATTTTTTAAATCTGGAGGTAAAGTTCTTTGTAATAAGGATGTATTTCCCCAATACCCTTCCTTCTCAGTTTGGAATTGACACTGAAATGATAAAATTGCTCGAATCCTTTCTGGCCTTTTGTTTGTTTTTATGTCACTACAAATACATAAGTATGGTCATGGCATGGTGACTCTCAGATGACATCCTCACTTTACCAATTTTGCATCTTCCACTAAGTTGTTATAGACATTTGCTCAATTTTGAGACGATAGAAAGATGGGAAATTAGATTTTATGAAGCCCAAAGGACTTCTGAAGGATCTTCCAAGAATTACCCCTAATTTAGACTCAGGTGTAAGTGTCCCATTCTGCAATGTGTTATTTCCTTTTCAGTGCCATCCTCAAAAGCAATTATCACTTCTTACAGTCATAATGTCTTAAAAGTTGCTGCTTAAATTAGTCCCTGGCTAAAAGCTAAGTTAAAAGGAAGAATATTGATTGAAGATACCAACTAAGTATCTTTCACTTAGATGAATTTGGAGAGTTTTTGAGAAATTCTGATAGATTACGATGGACTGGACCAACAATGATTGGCTGGATTTGTAGGTAGGAAAATTACTACACAGAGGGCAACCCCCCCACTGAAACTTAACACATATACATGTTAATAACTGTTGGAACCAGCCACCCAAGGCAGTTTTGGCCTCAGTGGATCTGGGCTCAGTTCTTCATTCACTGGGGGCTGGTGGTTTTGATGTTCTCAGAACTGCTCAGGGGTGGTCTGGCCCCAGAGGAGCAGCCCTGCCTGCCCTGGATGCCCGTGCTTCTGCCACAAGTCTGTACAAAGCTGCTGAAAAGCTGCAGCACGGCAGCATCAGGAGGGATTCTCCCTATCCTGTCCACGACCCAGAGAGCACAGAACCCTGTGCTGAAGGACAGAACTGAGAGCACACAGAAAGTGTTTCCTCCCTAAAGGCTCCAGCAGGAGCCACAGAGACCTTCAGTCAGAATAAACTGGCTCAAGCCTCTTAGGAATCTCTAAGAAGCCTTCAGCTGGAGGACTCCAGGAGCTGTAGGAGACAGGTTTCAGGTCTTTCCTTCGTTGTCTCAGAGGAGCCCCAGTTCCCTTCTGTGCTTCTCATGGTATATAGGTAGCACTGGGGTGCCAGGAAAACCACCAGGAGGGCTCTCCTTCAACAGTGAACCTCAGAAAAGTACAAGTGCTCAAACTGTTCAGTGCTTGAGTCGGGGCTCCCAGTTCTAGCAAGTGAGGAATTTGATCCATGAGTCCCATTCCTTTCCTCGGCATTTCCCCCCTAATTTATGCTAACTAGCTCCCTGCACAGCTACTTTCAGAGATTCATACTTCCCCACTGAACAAGACATACAACAGAGGTATCCCTCAGGTTGAAAAGATAGTCGTCTTCTGTGCAAATGCAATGAAAGGTAAGTTAAAATGTTGGATGCATTTTGTTGTGTTGGAGAATATTACTGAGAATATAAACATTTTACTATCATCACATGGCATGATAAAATGTTCTTTTGTTAAAACCTGTGCTGGATGATCATGACCCTTACCTCAATATACAATTTGAAAGGCTCAACAAAGGCAGAGAGTGTGCTTAAAAGCAAAATCATATCAGTAGGAAGGGAAGGAGCAGAAATGACCGAGGCATGAGGTGTAATGAAGAGTGATGCTAAAGTATCCCTTTGGCATTAACATGTAGCTCACCGACAACTGAAAGAAAACCTTAAACATCACCTTTTCTTTTTTCTTACAGCCTGAGGAGGAGTTAATAATCAATGAACCATATTGCTCCGATCGAACTTCGGGGATTTCTGACACCCTGCAAGGAAAGAGGGGACACTGTGAGGGTCTTTCTCGAGGTCTGAGTGACTCGATGGCCATATAAAGCTCCGGTCACGGCGCAGGGGGAGCCGAGCGCTCTGCCGCCGGCTGGAGGCAGCGCCGAGTGGGGCACCCAGCCCGATCCCAGGCGCTTCCCGCTGCCGCCGCCAGAGGATCCCGCCACCGCGGTAGGATGCGGTGAGGGCGGGATGGGGCTGGCGGGCGGGGAAGAGGCGGAGCGGCGCCCGACGGAGCCGCCGCGCCGGGGAAGCCGCCCCCGGCTCCCTCCCCGCCCGCCCCGGGGTCCCCGCGGAGCAGGGCCGCCGAGAGCGGGGATGCCGAGCTGGACCTGCCCTCGCCCTTTCTCTTCGTAAATCGCCGCCGGGGTGTCTCTCCTCCGGGTCTTTCTGACACCTGCTATCTGGCTCACTCGTGCCGCCGGCCCGGGCCGCCGCAGCCTTCTCCGATGCTGCAGCACCGCCCCAGCGCTGCTGGGCTCCCCAGCAGGGGTCCCGAGGCCGGGCTAAGCTTTGATTTATTAAAATTAAGTGTGTGTGCGAATATACACATTTTTCTACGTGGCCTGCGCAGGGGAAACTCCTCCTTGCAGGACGAGCGCTTCCCGTCCTTGCTTTCCAAACTCGCGGGCGCTGCGAGCCAGGACATGGGAACCACGACCTGGGGGCCCTGAATGATGCTGGCATAAGCAGCAGCCTTCAGGAAACCTTCAAGTGCCGGAGCCCGGTGCCGCCGGGACTTTCTCGGGTCGCTGAGAGCCGGTGGCTCCCCTGCTCGCCCCGTCCCGCCTCTCCCCCGCCCCACAGCGCTGCTGTTCCCGCAAAC